AACACCAGAAAGGTGAGCTAGAACTCCAAGAGATGTGTTGTCGAGACTGAAGAACTCTTCAGCCTCGACTCCTATATATACTACTGGCCTATGGTTCTAAAGAAGCGCATCAAGAAGCTTCCCAAGAACTATAAAGCTTCTCGAGCAACTACCCAAGAGCTAGGAAGCTTCTTAAGTAACTTCCTAGAATCTACTAAAATATTCTAAGAATCTTCTAGAGCCTTCTAAGGGAATCTTTAGTAAATCTTCAAAGAATCTTTAGGGAATCTTTGAAGAATATTCTAAGAGAATATTCAAGGAATCTTCTGGAAGTTTCTAAAAACTTTTTTCTAGAGACTTTTAAAAAAGAAATTTAAGGTGGTTATCTAGATTGGATCGACCACCAAAGAATATTCTAGAAAATCCACTGTGGTAGGACAAGGAATAAATAAGACCAGCCAAGGGTTTTTGAGGCATTTGGTTAGATATGGCTTTGGATCCTTTTTTCTTAGTAAATTTTGGTTTTGTATCTTTTTGTTCAGATTTTTTTTATTCTATTTTTGTTTGCTCAATTTTATCTTTCATGTCCTATTTTTTTTAGTTCCATTTAGTTTTCTTCTGATCTATTTTGTCCTATTTTGTGACGAGGCTTATTGTTGATGTGGATTAGAAAGATCTTAGATTTTTGAGATAGTTTAGTTCTATTTCAAGTTGTAAAGTCGATCTACTTGCTTCTTTCAATTATACAATTTTTTATTGCAAAATTTGAACTTCTTCTACAAACATAGGAATAGTACTTCCATGATATACGTTAGAAATATGTGAGATTTCTATTCTTAAAATATTAACAAGCTCATAAAAATCTGCAATAGTTACAAATTTATTTTCACTTCCACTGAGAATAGAATTAATAATCTTTTCTTCCATAGACAATTCAAACAAATTTTAAAAGTTAAATTAGATGACGGTAATGTCCAACCTTTTAATATCAAATGAAAATTTTTACAAAGAATGATAATCCACTTTTTTTAAAGAAAAGTTCATTGTTAGAAAATAAGATTATTTATTTTAAGGTGGATAGTCTACAACCTTCAAAATATAAAAATAGAAGTGAATTAATCCACTCACTTCTAAAAATAAGATAAAATAATAAGTTAGCACTCTTATAAAACTGTCAAGGACATGAATCTCAAAAATAGAAATCTTCAGTATACTCTTGTAACATTGAAAAGAACTAGGAAGTCATTCAAAGGTGATATATCATTAAATTAGAATGGCTATTACTAAAAATAAGAAAACTAAAAAGTTTTAAAATAAGATTAAAGATTAGAAAGGCATTGTCAAGAATGAAGAAGGCTTCACTTTTGCCTCCATATATACTCTTAATTAGGAGCTATATGGCAATGTCCTATACAACCCTCAAAACATGTTGACTTTAGAAGACACATATCTTAACTTGCAAGGCAAGTTTTTTATATGTATGCCACATAGTTAGCTTGTTCCACAAACTACCAACATGTAGTTAATTTATTAATCAGGTTTGTAGCTTGCTAATCAACTATAAACACATGTTAAGTCAAAGCAATGTCTATAAAGCTTCTAGAAAGCTTTTCTAAAAGATATTATGAAATTAATCTACTTTTATCTACTTTTAACTACTTCTATCTAATCATATAGATATTTATTAGAATACATTTATATATCCGTGATAAGAATTTATAATATTTAAAATGTATTGTATTGATTTGAATTTTTTTTTTCTATATCTTTAAATTTTAGAAGTACAAATTATATGCTAAACTAAATAAGTACAAATAGACCTATTGGTTTGCAAGGTTTAAAAGTAAGAATCCATTTTTGAAATTGTATCATTTCGTCTACTATAGTACATGGTATTAGGAGAAGCATCCATTGTATCAAAACTAGTGCATAGAATTACATATAGAAGTACTTATAATTGGCTTCTTTATATGATATAATGTAAGTTTGAATGATGTTTTCAAGTTCCACTATCTATTCTTCTATTTCCTTAGAAACATATCTTTTTTTGTAAAATAAGCAATTAGATAGAACTTTTGCAAAAATAAGATATGCTAGCAGATTTTTTACAAATCCAATACCTTTGAAGGTGTCTTCTAGTGCTCTTGGATGAATAGCCCTCATGCATTTTGGAATGAATCTACAAGAGTATTGTGTAGTTGGATGATGAGGGGAATTGCGTTATGCTTCTTAACCATGTTAGGTTTGCCATTTGTAGTTAGGTACATGCTATCATTGCTTCCCTCTCCCTTATATTAGTATTAGTAAGCAATTGCACAGTCTTGAAAAAGACAAAGGGAGGACCATGATGCAATTTAAGATTAGATAGAAAATATAAAATTGGAATTCAATCAAAAAACTTTTAAATAAAAGATCTTGCTTAAATACATAATCTAGTATAATTTTATTTACTAATTTTAGAAAAAACAATGCATCAATTTCAATATGTGTCTCAAAATGTAATGCATGCCATAGCACCTCAGCTTTGGCATCTATCATTCTTCAATCAATATCAATTTGATTTATTTGTTTGTTTACTTCTTTTATTTTTAAGTTTTATTAATAGAGTAATTCCTACATGACATATATATTAAATACTCCTATTTAGAAATTAAAATTTGACCTCAGTTTATTTGACAAAAAACCTCTGAAATGTTAAATCATTTCGTAATCTGTAAAATATACCCTTAATCTCACATTTTTTTGAAGCCAACCCTCATAGAGTTGAGTACAATAAACCATTTCTTTATGTTATAGATGAACTATACTCAGGAACATTGATTTGAAGAAAATAATTGAAGAGGGGTTTAGAGTCTCATCCGCGACTCATTCATCCAATTCCAACCCACCAAAAATTCATCCAGAAACCCATTTATTCATCCATTCATATTGGCCTAGGATCCCAAAGCCGTTGGAGGGAATCGTCATGCCCACAGAGCCATAATAATGCGGCGTGCGCATTGATGTCCATTGAAGCCGCTGTATCGAGACGGGCACCCATGACCACAACCCACCACCACCCACAACCATCGGTGCCAGCTCCATTCACTCTGGCACCCCTCCTCCCATATTTCATCTCGCCACCTGTCATCTGTTCACAGAGCTCCTCCCTTCCCGCCCTGCCACGTCGGCTCCACCTGGCTCCCAACTCTCGGGTATCCGTTGCAAGGATGCGTCACTGTTTGAACTTTCCATATCTTTACATAGAAAAAAAAAAGGGGGTGTAATGAAGGGCCCCATAATCTTTTTCTCCTGATTGATGTGGCTCCGACCTCCTCCTAATCTCTTCCTTTCCTCCAGCTTATTTTTCTAAATGCCGATCGAAATTACTGCTTTTGAGCCGCCCACCTAATAATAATGGGTAGCTGAAGTAGCGGGATACTTATCGGGGTTAAGGAATGTTCCCCTTTGTTTAGGGACTCGGTTAAAGCTGCCTGATTAGTGCTAATACAGGGCCTGGCTCGGGTTGCCTACCCACCTCTGTGTTACGCAACGGGTGCCAGTTCTGTGCCGAGAACTAGAACATCTGTCGATGGACAGCGTTCCTCTGGGGTGGTGGATGAATATGACAACGGTGACATTCGTTTCGTCTGGATTCTATCCAACCGTGTTGGAAATACTTGAAGCGCATGGGATTGTGTGCCCCCTAAAGCGAGGCAAAGAGATGAATGGGAAAAAGGGGGAAGAGCATTTTACTTGCTTCTTTGTACCAGAGAGAGTGAGAGCGTGAGAGGGTATTATTTGGTGGTTTTGGTGATTGGTTCATGAGAGGGGGGTGATATTCATGTACTTGTTGGTCTCCTGTCTTCAACATTCTAGCTTGAAGTTTATTTGGATTTGGGTACGGACACTCCCTCAGGTGTGGCCACCTGCTTGATGACAAACTGAAGGTCTTGGAAGGGGCGATTTGGTTATCCTTGTGTAGGGGAGGTGGGGGTTGATGATAAAAAGGAGGTTCAAACTGGACCTTTTTGTGGATGAAAGTCGTTTACTGAATGAATAACATTTGGCAGAAGTTTGACTTCAGTTGTTTTTTTTTTTTTTTAATTTTTTATTAATATATAATTTCCTTCTTTGATTTATTTGCACCTCCACTCTGTCTCATGAGGAACATGTGTTGTGTATTGTACAATGCTGCTTGTGTTTGAAGCATAAGCTGTAGACATGGGTTCTATGACCTCAGTGGGCACTGCCATCCAAGATGGATTTTGTACTTCTGTAGAAAGATCCTAAGCGAAAGCCACTACAAACTTGACATCCATACTCTAGAGAATGTGCATACACACACATGCACATGATGATATGGTTTGATGCATGGGCTCACTAATGATTTTTTATCCACCATCACTTTGATTAGTGACTAAAGGAACTTTCAGTCATGGTTCTAGAAGGATGAACCATAGCAGTGTTTGTATTTATGGCCATCAAAAGTGGCCATTTGCTTTAAAGTTGGATGAATGATAAAACGAGTTCGGATGTTTAGTTTCTTTTTTACTCATGGCCGGAATTAGAAGGTTTACTGGTGGCGTGGAAAAGTAACCAGAATCATGAAAACGAATAAAGTTACCTGTCCACAACTGGGAAGGGGCGATCACGGCGCTCGGCCCGGAACTGTCGCGCCGTGCTTCAACGGGCCCATCTCTCCGCACGAGCTCCTGCTGGGGACCGGGGGGTGGGTGAATCCCATAGAGAGTAGATTGTGGAGCTTCGGAGCGAGCCCTCGCAACATGCGGAGTTGATCGTTGGGAGTCACTCAATCATTCTCATTCCGCTATTCGCTTCCTCTCCGGCTTCGTTTCGTGTTGTGTAGGTTGTTGTACCTTTGCTTCACTGGCGCTGCTTGTGCGAGCTCGGGAGCTGGTTTGTGGACTGCATGCTTTCTCGCAAGGTTTGGAGCTCGCTTGGAGTGTTGGAGGCCTTGTCGCGCGTTAAGAGCAGTGTGTAGAGCCCGGGTGTACTCCTCTGGGACTAGTGTCAGTTTATTTATTTATTTATTTATTTTTATTTTTTTAATCGTATTCGCAGATCTTCTCGTTCTGCCTCTCTGAGAGAAGTTTTGTCGTAGTTTTCGGTACTGTGTGCATTGGTGAGGTCATGTTTGATGAGGTCTGAATCTGCTGTCGTTTGTTGCGATTTTGGCGGTTTTGAAATATTTGGAGTTTCCTGAGGGTGATTTAGGCGCGAGGGCGTTGCGTGCGTGGGTCTTTATGGTTTTAGAGAGAGGGACGATTGAAGGGTGTCAAGGTGTTGCGCGGGATTGCAGGGAGGGGTTTGTGTACGAGCTGCTGCTACTCTCTAGCGATGCGATATGCTCATTACTTGTGCGTGCACGAGCCTGTAACTGCAAATTTGAATTTTAGGCTTCTTCAAAGAATTGTCGGCATGTATAGCGATATCTAGCGGTAGGAGATGCTGTACGCCATGCGCACACGATCTTTACAGTGAGTGGGCCATACATGTCCCATTTCATGAATTTGCTCCCGTGACAAATCTTCTGAACTTCGAAGCTCGTAATGGCATTACAGCCATCAGGGATTCCCTTAGGAACGATGCCGAAATGATGAAGGCATAGCCTCGCGGATACACTTCATTGTGTGGACTTTGTGAGGACCTGCTCCTACAGCCTAGCTCCTTGGGGTGAGAAAGTGAGAGAAGGGGCGGAATTTGTTCCTTCGCGATCGACTAGAAAAGTGTGATGTATTAATTGGAGCTGGGCGTTGGAAGTTAAGTGTGAGTTCGTTGCGTTAATAAGAACACATCAGACGCCAAGGCGGACTGTGTCTGTTGAATATCGCCGATAGTTTTGGATGTTTATAGGTATACAGGGTTATGTTCGCGGCTTTTTACCGTATTCCGTATGGCGACAATGTTAATCTATTGAATAGTGCGCATACGGATCGTCGAATGCGAGGCTCTGCTTCGGTTTTTGTTTAAGGTGGTTAAACGTGGACTAGTTACATGTCTCCTAGTGTCTGCCTTTGTTGAATCCTGTGACGTTATCTAGCATAGAACGGAAGTTTGTTGTACTGTATAACTTACATTCAATTTAGGACCCATTCAGATAGACTCTGTGAAATTGGAAGGCGTAGCAGTGAATTCTCTGTTTGAGTTAGTAGAGAGATTCATGAAACCTCTGGTCTCACCCAAAAAGGACTTGAAGTGATATGATTCAGTAGTCGGTGTTGGCTTACATCCTCAGTCCTCGAGATCAATTTCCCATGCTAATCGATTATATCAACCATGTGTGTTTTCGACAGGTTAATGCCACCAAGGTCCCCAAATCCACCTGCAAATCGGTGAACTCAGAACAAGCTAAATGCAGTGTTTCCATACTCACAGTTAGAGTGTGCCAGGAACCGGAGTCTTCGAAGATAGGCGATTCAGGCTTAATCCAGTTCACTGTTATCATCGTTGGGAAAGAAAGTGGGACAGAGCGGATCATTATCAGGGGATGTGTCACAGTCAATGAGGGGTCGAAGGTGGTTACAGGGATTTACGGTGTTAATGATTAGGAGAAGCGTGTTCGGAGCAACCATGCCATCTGGCTGAAGGTTTCTACATTAGAATACTCAACGAAAGCAGAATGGGTCTATTCACTTGGTGCTGAATTCGTGCGAGGAAGTATTCTCAGACATTAACGGGCGACATACGGCTGCCTGAGCTTCTTAATTTAAGTGCTGGAATAGAAAACTGCGAATTTTTTTCGAAAAAGAATGATGTCCTTGTCCAGAAGGCCGGCCCGTTTGCCGTCATAAGGGACAATTCACTCAAATGGTTTCAAGCTATTCGATTCATTTTCTATTTAATTTTGATTGAATCTCCTCTCGTTGACGTTACATGAATAGCTATTTATGGCAGCCGACTATGTGGGCAACGGAATGAGCCACTTCTCAGCTATGGGATACTTGTCATGTCGAACGGAAGCCGCTACCGGGACCTGTGAATCCGTGCATCTGAAGCTGAAGAAGCAATTGACCAATAAGGCCTCGAAGCCCCGAAATATAACCCCACGGGTTTTTTCCTTCTCTGTAAGTTCCTTTATTACACAAGCTTGTCCTGGACGTACGCAACTGTTTGTCCTTTTCATCTCACCACCAGATTTATAATCGTGCCTGCAGGCAGCGTCTCTTGGCTCTATGTCTCCCAGTTAAATTGTATGTGCCTCAATAGTAAATTTTCTCTGAAAAGTATCATAGTCATTGCGAAACGTCGTGACACGAGGGCTTACCATTTTCTGTTGGATTCCGGTGTTTCTCATGAGCACGAGAAGTTCATTCCGAATCTCAGTAATTTTCAGTTGGACGCACTCGTGATGATGTCCTGGATCGCTGTGCAGGAGCTCAGCGAGGCGACTTTGGACTTTGCGGAAGATCGTCTTCTTGGCAAAGGTAGTCACGGGTTGGTGTACAAGGGGGTGCTTAAGGATGGAAAGGAAGTTGCGGTTAAGAGAGCGACGCATGCTCGACAGCTACTCCAAGACGAGACCTCTTTCGATAACGAGTTAGAGATTCTATCTAAGATCTGGAGCGACAGGTTCGTCAACTTACTGGGATATACCCGTGAGGAGGACGAAAAGCTTTTAGTGGTGGAATTTATGTCTAATGGCACGCTGCATGACAACCTACATGATAACTTCGAACCCGCCTTGAACTGGGTAATGCGAATTGAGTTCGCGCTACAAATTGCTAGAGGCATTTTCACACTCCACTCAGCTTCGCCTCCTATCATACACAGAGACATAAAGTCATCCAACGTGCTCATTGACGAGTCTTGGAAAGCCAGGCTCGGTGACTTCGGTTTAGCTTTGAGAGGTAATATCGAGGATATGTTGAAGACTTCCACTCCTCCAGCGGGTACAATGGGTTATCTGGATCCTGAGTACGAGACGCCATCAGATCTGAGCACGAAAACGGATGTCTTCAGTTTCGGAATTCTTCTGCTCGAGATGATTAGCGGCAGGAATGCAATTGATCTGGCTTACGAGCCTCCGTGCATTCACGAATGGGCCCTTCCGCTCATCAAACAAGGTAAAATAGATGAACTACTAGACAAGAAGTTGAATGCGCCTGGTAATATGAAGCCTCTCAAGCAGTTGATAAATGTGGCCGTTAAATGCGTCCGATCTTCTCGCACCAGGCGCCCCTCCATGTCCGATGTGGTTGAAGATTTAAAGGGAATTCAGAAGAAGGTGTCGGGGACAACCATGGATGGTATGGCACGGATGGTGAGACGAAGTGTACATGCTCAGCGGCCATGGCCTGCGGCTTCTGCCCGAAGAATAACTAAAGTATCTTCTCATCCGAACCATAAAAGATTGTTATCGCAGGTGTCTAGGTTAGCAGAACGGGAGGCCAGGGTGGCTAATTCCCAACAGGAAGTCGGGCTTGAGCAAACCCCTGCTTACGACCCTCCTACTCAAGTGGAGGGTTGTTCCACAATGGTATGTGCTGACGAAGCTGTGATGAACAATATACTCGTTCGAGATGTTACCACACAAACTCGTGCTAACGATGGAGACAGCAACTGTGTCGCTGATGGCATCACTCCAGAATCTCGCACATCGGCGAGGCTTTCTACTCCTTACATATCGGATGGCAGTGAAGTCGAATCAGAGACCACTTTTGAGGATTTCAAGTCCGCCAATGCTTCTTTTAGGTCCAGTAGTGCAAGTGCGTCGGTGGACTTGGACGAGGAGATGTGCGAGGATGACGGGTCGTCCAGTGCCAGCTGGTTGAAGATGAACTCCACCAAGGGGAGATCAAGAGTGTCGACTTCCAAGAAACCAACAGCTCCGCTCTCTCCTTGCATCAGTCCAGGGGTTTCGCATGAGCTCGGGCTTTCTGTTCCTTGTGACCCTTGCAGCAGTATTGCAGGAGTAGAAGGTTTGGAGGACTTCGCTATTGGCGAAGTGATCGGCGGTCCTCTGTGTGAAATATCGCAGGTGCAGGATCTGATCACTTCTCAGTATGACTTGGTTGAGCATCCAGTAAGTCGATCCTCGTCTCGTGGCGGCAGTGGCTCTGTCCGGTCGAACTACCAACCTAAGCTTCTGGAGTTGCAGACTGCCCAACTAAAGGCCATGAATGAAGAGTTCAGAACAAGGTCAAGGGTGGGGGCAAGTCATCAGTTGGATAGATATGTTCGTCGAACATCTAGTGCTCGTGAACTAGAGGTCTTCAGTCTTCCAAACGAGGACACTGGAGTAGCTTCTCGCAGGACAGCATATGTAGCCATTAAGACGTTGGCAACCACCTGCCTTGGAGCAGCCGTAAGACCCTGTGTCCGACTCAAAGAGGAGGATGATCATCTAACCAGTTCATCATACATTGTAGGTACATAGAAATAGTGTTGAGAAAACCGTAGTGGATGATCATCTGTCCGATGCGGACTGGCCCTGGAGCTTGGCTATGCCTTTGGCAAATGAGGCAGGTTTGTATCCCCTGGTTACTGTAAATTAGATTTAAATGAGCTCCAGAGAATCTGGAGCTGATAATCCAAACGTTCGCATTGCATGCGCATTCCTGCTGCATGGACCTCCTGCATAGATGTTAAGACCATGACTGTGATGTACACACGTCTTATTGCTTTTTTTGATTAGTTCTCCAGGGTACTGTTGGAGACGGCTTGTATTCTGTGATATGCAACCCTATAGTTGCTGAGTAAAAGTTATAATCCTTGCAATCACATTTGTGGTGAGGAAAATATGTCACCTACCACGTGAAGAACTGTTTGAAATATTAACATGCTAGAACAATTCTGTCAGTTGGAGGGTCGACCCCAACAACTGCGACACATTACAATCTTTGTCACGATTGGCATCCTTTCCCACTCATTGCTGTCGAACTCTTCGAGTGAATTCTCGATTCTCCTCGCGAATATATTTGCGTTAATTGAGTACCTCTTTGATGCGAAGACTTGTTCCCGACTTACTAAACATGCTAACACCGAAACCCTGCTGCAGGTTAAAACTGCCGTTTTCTTGTACTAATTCACTGAAACAAACTCATGTCAGAATTTCTTTCATACTACCGACACCGCATCCTGAGTTCACTTGGTTTCATTGTACTTGCTCCACTGCAGTATACCACTTATGCAATCGTATCCCATCAGCTTGTAATGAACAAGAGAAACAAAGGTAAAATTTCTCTCGATTGCCTTGACCTAGATAGCGAGGGACATTGGTGCCTAGGATGAAATAGACTTGAGTGTTGCCAAAAAAACTGGATTCGCAACAGGGACATTTTATAAGCCATAGTGAATATCACACCGAGTCTGCGACTAAGATTTAGAGGAACGATTTGAAGGGAAATTAAGCACTCTACGTTGGCAGTCGAATAATGTCTTGCACATCGTGGAGGTTGTTTTCTATTCATAGATCAGCATGAGAGTATTATTAAAATGGGAATTCCTCTTAAGGATTGCAATGGTGCTCGGTTATTGCTGGAGGATCAGTCTGTTGGTGAATCAATTCAGCAACTTCCACACTGACGTCAGCTTGCCACGTCATGATGCTTAAATTAGTGTTACCTCACCCTACTAGACTTGCTTGGAACTCGAGTCCATCATGTATATATACCCCTCATGCTTTGAATACAATCTCTCTTCATGTGTTGAATACACAGAGTATCACACAAGTGTAGATAGCAACATGGTATTAGAGCAAGTTGTTTCTATGTAGCAAGTTACAAAGGTGAGCGCTGCTCCCTTATTCTAGAGTGCAGAACAGATGGAAGATAGGAAGAATTTATTGTTGATAGAAAACTCATAGGAATGGCAGACGCGAGAGAGAAAACCTTGAACTATGGGATAGGCAAAGCCAATAAGTTGATAGGTCCACAAAATTATTAGTTGTGGAGCCTAAAAATGAAAGCAGTTTTGGAACGTGAGAATTTGTGGGAAATTGTAGAGTCAAAGAGCCTCCCAAGCCAATTTCCAGCAACCATAGGAGGGATATTGTATACAAAAGTTAAATTGAGAGACTCAAAGGGCGCAGTCTGGAATAATGATGTCTGCAGGAGATAATTTGACAGGAGCTGTGTCTCAACACGAGGATCTTATTGACTTGTGGGACATGCTCCATAGAATGTTCGAAGTTGGAGACCAACATCAGAATGAACTTGCACAATCAATTGTAAGTCTTTGGAGAAAAAATTACTAATAAATTCTTATCAACATCATGCTAAACTGAATACCTAAAAGCTATTATATGGTGATCTAATGAATTACAAAACTTATAGATGTCAACTTTGAAGATGTAATGGAAAAGCTTCTAATTAAGACACACTAAATGACCATTTGCAACTAGAAGCTTGAGCAAGATGAAGCAATTGCTGTCCAATATCATGACACCCAACTTATTAGAAGAAGAAGCAACAAAAACTTCAGAGGAGGATGACATTAAGGACATGGATTTGGATAGCAGTTCATTCAGAACTAAGGTTCCTTTGCATGACCACATAATGTGATACAATACTGAGGAACATTGCCAATGAACTACTTGCCTCCTATACAACCATATCAATCTTTAGGAGTATTTAGAGGTATTAGAAACATCTATTATTACTATTGCATCAAGTCTAGCCATATTATAGATCAATAAACTTGAGCAATATTTTATATGTTTTTATATTGAATCGCATCCTTATGTCTATTAAAGAATTAGTAGATGATGGACACATGATTATATTTATACAAATGATGTCTAGTTTTTGATAATGACATGAATAAAATGGTATTAGTAATTGATAAATTGGATTTCTCAAATGGCCTATATAAATTTGATAATAAACAAATGAAAGAAATATTTAATGTGGCTACATCAAAGAATGATGCATAGTTATGGCATAAATGATTTGGTCATCTATACTATGTAAGTCTTGAGTACTTAATATGAATAGGAATGGTCTTGAGCTTATTTCAATTTTAAATCATGAAAGAAATATGTCACAACTAATTAATAGGGTGTAAGCATTGGGATTGCTTTACAAAAATATTATCACATTGCTCCAACAAGATATTGTAGTTCATCTATTCAGACTTAATAGAATCTATTAAAACTTTGTTACTAAATAGTGCACAATATTACATTGCTTTTATAAATGTTTCTTTTTATAAAAGTTGGATGTACTTTATGAAGCACAAATAAAAAATCTTAGCAAAATTTAAGGAATTTAGAACAAGATAGGAAATAAAAACAAATAAAAAAAATCCTTTGCTTTAGAATGGACAGAGGTGAAAAATATTCATTAATAAACTTTGATATATACCTTAGAAATTTTTCTTTATTAGAGTAGTGTCAATGAATATAAGAATTGAACTATAATTGATAGAACCAAATCCATGGCTGCCACCAATAATTGTCTTTGGTTATAATAGATAAAACTAATTAATGCAACGAATCTTTTTATTAATCTAAGCTCCACTTGTGTTAATTACAATATGACATTAAAAGAATAATATTTTGGAATTAAACCAAGTGTAGACTTTTTGAGGAATTTTGATTCATTAGCATATTTTCATGTGCTAAAAGAATAAAAAACAAAGCTAGAAAGCAAAACAATTAGATATTTTTTTCTTAGGATATGACAAAAAAAACAAGCTTTATAAGATATTTGATTCCGCTTGTAGGAAAATCTACTTAAGTTAAGATATCATGTTCAATAAAATACAAGTAGGATATAATTATGTCCATATCAAACATCCTACTTTCAATAAATCATATACATTCTTTGAACCTCTCTTGCAGCCTAAAAATCCAAAACAATTGATATAAAATCCAACAAAATCAAACAACCATGTTGTCGTGTTGTGACACGATTATATAGTAAAAATATGACTAAAAATAATTTTTTAATTAATACTCTATTATATTAAATCAACAAAAATTCAAAATATTTTAATAAGGCTTTTATGAAAGTCTCTTAGCCTATTTTCTTGTCTTAATAGTAAGTAGATAAAAGTTAGTTAGTATTTTTACCTTCTAGGATATATAAACTCTTTTGCTGCCTTAGAAAGGCCATAAATTATTAAAATCATGATAGAAGAGGTAAATAGTTGATATGGTTGATACTAGGGTCAAGTTCAGGATAGGATTAGGCTAAAAATTCCTTGGGATAGGTTAGATTGATACCTGGGGGTCGACCGTTTGTGAGATAGAGTCAAAATCAGACCTTTGGTCATTAAAACAACCGCCTAGAACAAATTAGGGTTTCAATCAAAGATTGGAGATTAGACTTTGAGAGCTAGCTTCAAGCTCTTTGTAAAGGCATAAGGATTGTTTTCGTAGGGATTTTGAAGATTTAGCAATTACTATTCAAAGTCAAGGTTTATATTGGTGATTTGGATTTTATATAATATAATTAAGGCTAGAAATTTGGTTGGTTCATACAATTGATATAACATCTACAGTTCAAAATTTGGTACTGCTTGGATTATTGGGTGTGCTAAGTATATAAATTTTTTTGTGATAATCTAATGGTGTGATTTAGAAATATCTAGTTTTTAGCACAAGAGGATTTTGGAAGTTGGTAGTTTGGGATTGGATAGAGTTTCTACGATATCTAGAGATCTACTTGTTGAATCAAGGTGAAATTTGGCATGATGTTGAAGAACTTGAAGATCAAGCTGCACACCAATTTTGAATGAAAGTTAAAGATTGAAGAAGGAAAAATCACTACTGGGATTTTTGCTTCACTTTTCAAGTTGGCAGCTGAGTGACATTAGTGCAATTTTTAGAGGTTTTCTTACAATCTATAAATTGGATTGGGCTGAAAATTATTAAGCATCAAGAAGATTTACATTGACAATTGCATGCAAAATTTTACATCAAATTGATGGTTAGATTAGAAATTACAGCTTGTTAAAGCTCACTAATTAAGATTGGGGCTTATAAGAAAAATCTAAATTACTTAAATATCAAAGTAATAAGGTAATTGAGGTTTATGTGTGAATGAGGCTACTAAAAAGAGTGTTTTTTAGTACTTTTGAATCAGAATTTGGATTATATTCTTCTTAGATGGATGAAACCTATTAGGATTTTTTTGGATATTTGTGAAACACAATCTCACCTTCTACAGCTAAGTGCCTGGTGCATTCTTAAGTAAGACAACACATAATACGACAATGTATCTGTAAAATCTCACTTAAATCAATCAATATTTCAATCCAATCATAACATAGATCCTTATTTAGATCCAAAACCAACAAATGGATTGCCATTATAAATCCAATTGTAGTAGTTTTTGACTTCGTTGCCATCTCCTAGTATTGAAAAAATCTACTAGCATACATTTGACAACCTCTAATAATCCAAATTAGAACTATCAAATAACATTATATCACCGTCTTTAAAAAATATCAAATAACAACAATGAAGATATCTTGCTAGGAATAAAAAACCAAATCCACATTACTACCATGATTACTTTATCTTTGTAGCAAAATAAGACTTAGAACTATAGAGTTATATAAAAGCACTTTATACTAAATAATTGAAATAATGTAATAAATAAGAAAATTAATTCTATATAAACAATCAAATTTGGAAGCTTGTTAACTTACTTATTGACCAAACTCCTATCTTAATTAAATAGATATTTAAAAGAAAAATTAAAACTATCAAAAAATTAAAAAATTAAAAGTCCAAATTGTTGCAATAAGATTTAAAGAAGAAGATGGAATTGATT